AATCCAGTTATCCATTTACCCAGAATGCAAAACCAAAAATGAGAACCAGACAGAAGTAAAATTATAGTTACAGAGTATCTTACAGTCAGTAATTTGTGTCAGCATAAATGCATTTTTATAAGCTCACAAGGCTGGATTGAATTAAATTAAAATAGCCCACAGAAAGATCCAAACCCTGAAATAATAAAGCTGTTAAACCATTTAAAAATGTATCAAAATCATGTGATTACTACAATCTGAAAAACTAAAGGAAAAGCAGCAAATAATTTATATTTTCTTTTTTGGGGGGTGAACGTGAATTTTGTTTGCATCAAAACAGAGTGCTATCATTGGCTGTTATTGACTAATACAAGGTAAAGAAAAGCACAGGATGATAATGTAAAAGAGCATACAGTACCACATATTCCATGCTGGGATACCTATTATACACTTTCGCAAACTGAAAATTAAAAACAAAATCACATCTCTCACACCTCTAGCTCAGTTCCCTTTCCATCTCGGTCTTCTTCAGAAGAGGGACCTTTGGATACTTCTTTCACTCATCTCTTGTACATTCATTATAGCACATTATCTTCACTGTTCAACACTGAAACACTGTCTTTCCCTCCTTTTCAACTCTTTGTTTTAAAGTTTCTTGCTTGCTTAAACCTGCTTTAACTAATTAATTAAATCTACTAATTGTTTTCTTGGTTTGGTCTGAGGGTGGGATCTTAACATCTAGAGTGATTTTGAATAATGAGCTTTCGTCTAAATCAAACTATTTGAATTATAAAATCACAACTGCCTCAAAACACTTTAATTAAGATAAAACAAGGTTAATTAAACTTACAGTACTTAATTTTAAATTGAAGAGTCCCATTATTGTAGTGCTTTGACCCACTCTATAGAATCTCTATTAAATTACTTAAATAGGAAAATGATCATTAATTTGTTTCCACACATGTTGTCAATAGAAATAATTTGCATTGGTCTGAATTTCGACTTTATCAAGTTGTTCTTATGTGGCAAGCAGGTTTTAATTAGAAATTTAGAATGAAGATTTCAGACTAAAAAGCAGGTGTTTTATTTTATGTGCATCTAAGATACAAATGTTGAAAAGGGCAAATCAAGCATTGTAATTTCGGAAGCTTTTGACAATGTAATCAAAGGTATTATTTTCCAAACTCAACAACACTGTGCATACTTTCCGGCATCCTTTTCTTACTTATATCCTTGAACTCCAGCTTTTTACTTATGATACTTCACTACTTTGAAGTTGCTTTCCTTGTACTTTTAAAATGACTTGCAATACAACTCTTTTTAATTAAATTCACTATTGTTTTTTTTAAAACCAACTCCTTGCTTTCAGAACTAAACTGCTGTGTTCCTTATTTTCCTTCTATCTAAAACCTCCAAATGGGTAGTGTAGTGCCAGCTATCCATTTTCCTTTAAACACAGATGGGCTACAAGTCAGAGGAAGTCATCCAACCTACTAATCTAAATCTAAAGATTTCATCCGGCTATTTCTTGAAAGTATCTAGAATATCAACTTCAACAGCTCAACTTGCTCCAAACTGCCACAACTTTCTGTGTAAAAAATACCCCTGCTGCACTTCCTGCACTGTTGATTTTGAAGAAGACCATCTGGTTGACCGTGTGTGAATCACACCTTCTCATTGTCTTTCCTGTTCAAGACTAAAAAGATCCAGTTCTGTCACTGTAGGATTTTCCCTTCAGCTTAGGAATTTATTTGCTGTGTCTCCAGACTGGTTTTCACTCAGATCAGACTGGATACTCAGTTATTCTTTTCAGTTCATGCTGCTTCTGTCTCCTCTGCCTTAATCTTTTTTTGAACTGTCTGCTGCCTCTGACACGGTGGATCATTCTATTTTCCTGACAACACTCACCTGTAGACATTTTATTACTTTAATGGGCTGATACAAATAATTTAGGGACTCAGTGTAAAAAAAACATAAGAGTAGGATTGTAAAAAAACACATGGAAACACAGACAAGTCCGTTTCCTTTTGTCTGCTTTTTAAATTTCACTTTCATTGCTTTTTCTCTTTTTTTCCCTGATATGCTTAAGCTAGTTGTCATTACTTTATTAGATTAGGCACTGATTATTACCTACGATATCAAATTGTCACTTTCCATCTCTAAATTTCTAAACAAACGAAGGAAACCAGAGACACTAGTTGAATATTTTGAGATCAGGTGTGGCTCCTGCTCTTCGGTTTATGACTACAAAATAAAGCTGGCTGATCCCAAGTGCCATTTAGAAGCAAGAGCTAGACCCTAAAGAATAATCACCATGCAACAAAACAATCACCTACCATCATCTTTAACCATATTAGTCTAGGAAAATCTCTGGACAATTAAAAAAAAATCCCTTGATATTTTCAGATAGTTTTTTTAACCTCTTTTAATTTTTCCACATTATACTGTAAAGCTAGATCACCTATTAAGACTGTATCACGTGTGGGCTGAATCATTGATTCCCTTTCAACTTGAAACACAGGGCTTGCAAAAATAGTAATAGTATGTCACAGAATATAAAACCTAAGATGTCTCCAATACCTGTGTTGGGTGAAAAAGCAAATTACCAAAAACCAGCATCTTCCAGAAACTCTTCTAACAGGATTTTCTCAGATTAATTTGCAGTTCAATAGTTTGGAGAAAGAAGTCTGGAATAACCTTTATTAAGGGGGAGTAGAAGTGTAATTTGAATTAGTATTTCTTATTGTCTCAACTTGAGTGGCTGACAGTCTTAAAACCAGGCCATGGCTTAGGAGGGATGAGCCTGGGTGTTTCTGCAATGGTGAAAATGGGAGGAAGGGTAAGAAGTCAATATAAAACATGTAACTGGATAAGAATCAAAATGTCATAATACATAGAAGTGAGAGAGATTAGGATTAAACATCCTCCCAAACATTAAATTACCATTCCATTTCAGAAGCTTGGACAGATTTTAATTAATCTAGAGCAGATGTATAATTTAATTAGTTTTTTTTTGTCAGAGAATTACAACCTGGCTCTAAGTACAAGCTCAGAACTCCCAAAATATGTGAGCAAGGGCTCCATGATGCAACTATCAAATTCTTGATTTATGAAGTTTAAATAGAATATGTATAAAGACTTGATAAGTACATTGAAAGAAGGAACAGGGGACATGAGAAGTTTTATGGAAGCCTTGGTAACGTTTTCCAAGCTGAGATGCATAGACACTTCATACTGCTACTACTACTTCATACTACTTTGAAGAATATTGTTTTTCGTGATAAGTGATTAAAGTGTTAGTGGAACATAACTTCTGAAGCAGATGAAGCCTGGCTCCCTGCAGAGACCCCCCAAAAGTTGGTGGAACACATCGCAGAATGCCGATAAGGAACCCAAAAAGGGGAACTGGAGATGAAACATGAAACCCTTTCTTCTGTAAGCAGGTGCATATTTCCTACTGTAGGCACCACTGTGCAGGTGGAAAAGGTGGGGGAAGAAAGTCAGGGGCTGACACTGTACCATGTAGGACGCCAGCGAAGAAACGGGGAAAAGGGAGGGGGACCCATGCCGCCGCTGCCTGCGTCTTGACTGGGACGCTGGAAGGGCCGTAGTGCGGGTTATGAACGAGAAGCCAGGAAACCAATGCAGACCGAGCCATAGGTCCGTTAGAAAAACAGACATCGCCAGCCAGGTTCCTCCCCTTTTGCAGAAAGAGTTGGAATGAAAAAAACATGAAGCACAGCAGACATTGTGGGCACCAAAAGTACTTTGGACAGGACGCCCAACAACGAAAAGGGGATGAAAAGGGAAGAAAGTAGAAGAGAAAGGGCAGATCAGGTGATTCGAATGAGACATGAGAAAGAAAGTAGGTGGGACAACCCCATCCCACCCTCTATGCCCCTGCTTTTTCCTCTTTCCTTCTGAGCGCAACTGTATCCCCGGGGGGCATCCGCGGAGGCACACTGTCATCAGGACAGGCCGCGGCACGGCGACTACTGCGCCTTGGAGCGGTTGCGACTGTGTGGGAGAAGAGACACGTTTGGCGAAGGGACGCGGGACAGAAGGTAGATTTGCTGCGGGAAGAGTTGCTGAGATGGAAGTCGAGTGTCAAGGCTGACTTGCGAGAAGGCTGTTGGATTTGGGGAGATGAAAGGGGGGGGGCTCATCAGGCACTGGCTGCTGTGGGGACCGGCCAAAGGGTGCAAGTGTCTGCGACAGAGATGTGAATGAGAATGAGAGTCCTGGGGAGGGTTGAATTCTAGGAGATTTCAGCTTCCAAAATAGGCTGCATTCTGTGACTTGCTGAGATAGCAGGACTGTTGTGTTTTGTTTTCCCAACAGGCAGATAAAAAAGAAGGAAGCCACAGAGAGTGCTGCAGATAAGATTTGATGCATCCTGAATGGCATTGTGTGAAAGCAAAATGAACAAATGGTATCGCCAGAATCGTGACATTTAAACATAGGTAGGCAGAAGAGGGTGATAATAGGGTTTGTCCACCCTCTGAACTTTCATCTAAATCTCCATACCTTTATGATGCAACAGGTGAGATTTTGTGTGGAGACTTAGGAGTATTCCCAATGTAATTATAAATTGTATAGTAGCCTTTATCAAAAGGATAAATTCTAATAATTTAATCATTCACAACTCAGTAAGTTTAAACTTAATTACACACCTCTATCAATGCAGTCATGATTACATTATCTTATTTTTAGATTACAGGCTGTTTTATTATATAACAAATATAAATGCAACACAAATAAATGTAACTAATACTTAGTAAATGTAAATGCTATGTTTAGAAAAAATAAAAGAAGTGACTTATAGATGGTTTACATTTTCGGAGACCATAATCAAGCAATCAATATCAAGATTTTATCAGCATACATATCCATTAATATGTATATATACAGTAAATTAATTAGTAAAGAGGCTGTTAATTTAGATAAAAAACAAGGACACACAAGTGCAAAGGTCTCAGATAAGAAAAAAATGTTATTATTTTATTATTTTAAACTCTTACCTCCTAATATTTCATTTTCATCCTCTACTGCACTGGTATCCTTCCGTTTATGAGGCTGTAAATCCTCTTCGTGTTCAGAATCTTTAGCTGGAAGACATACCAATAACATTTCTGAAACACACGGCAAGTATCCCAGTCTCCATGTTCACACAACACAAACTATTCACACTACGAAAAATAATCATAGGAACAACCTTTTCTGAGATGTCAACCGTGAATATCATTCCAGAAAAATAAATTCAATTTTTGAACCCAAACCTTAAAATCGCTGCTCTTGTTTAAAAGCGATTTAGACACGTATTAACCACAGACCACTTGGGCAATACAACTTTAATTCTACAATTCAGATATGTAGAACCTCAGGCCTTAAGAGATGGGGAGCACTTCGCTGGTTCTTGCCATAGTGGTGAGGCTTCAGGTGGGGACTTGGGGACTGAACTGTCATTGGGTTTTCAAGTTGGCACCTTCATCATCAGTGTTTCATTGACATCTCCATGACTTCTCCAAAAGGCTAAATGCTCCCCTTGAGACAGAGCCATTGACTCTTTCTGTAGCTTCTACTGCATATAATTTGATCATAATCAGCGGCACCATTACACTCTACTGCTGAATGAAAGAGTATGGTCAGGCAGATCCAGTCTTTCCCCATGGATCCACATTACTCCCTCAATTGTCTTACTCTTATCTTCTAAGAGGCCTGTTAGTACAATACTGTCTTTTTTTATCAAGATTAGAATGCCCTGTGTTAATCCATTTTCATGCTTTACTTAGCATGTTGCCGTTTGTTTTATTTTACTCTTCAAATGTCACAGACTCTTCTTAACAATATAATCCATTCATGTTTCGTTCTGTCCCATCTTTGTATCTTTGTGATTCCTACCTTTATATCATTCCAAGTTTCTTTGTGCAGCTCGAGGTTTCTGAAATATTCTTGCATGCAGAAAACATATTTCACACTCGTTTTTAAGCACAGAGATCATTCTTTATGATTTCCGTCTTATGACACAAAGGTAGCTTTCCTTTCTAAATTGTTTTCCTTTCTGAAAAGCCTTTCAAAAGTGCCCAGCTTTATTCTCCTATTTGTTTCATATCAACGGTGTTCATCTGATACTTTCATTTAGTCACTGATTGTTCCAGTAACCAGTTACTGGTAACTTCATCAAATGCACTTCCAGATTATGCAGACTTGTTAAAACTAACTTTCATATGTTAAGTTAATTTACAGTCCCACTTTGTTCCTGGCATCATTCAAAACACATCACATTTTCACTTCTTCAGGATATGGAGCAAATTAACGGTGCATTAAATATGGTAGATATGGTGTATAAACATTTCCTTTGAATTTCAGTCTAGTAACAGCCACATTAACACATGTTAGGCTGACTTCACCATATCTCAGATGCTGAACATGGCAGAGTATATCCAAGGAAAATCCCATTGCTGCTACACTGTAGGTGGTAATAGTGGAACTGTAGATAACACTCTTCCCACTGAACCAAAATTACCAAGCCAATGGTAACCAGTAATACTGTGCTTTAGGATGTATTGTTCTTCAGATGAGACATTAAACCAAAGTCCTGACAATTCATCCTGTGGCAGCCATCACTAGTCAAATCACATGTACAGTAGGTTCACCAGTCCCAGAGACAGCCCTTCAAGACATAACCTCCACCAAACATCAGATTGGATCAGAGATCAGAAAGAAGAGTTTTGGAACAACACTTTAAAGACAGAAGAGACCTTTACCAAAGTAAAGCAAAAGTTAAAGTGTGGAAAAAACAAAGAACACCACCTGTGAAGCACGACTGGACATGCATGGTTGCCTCTGAAACTGATGCAATTATCTTTATTGATGATGTAGCTAATGATGGCAGCAACAGAATGAGTTCCGAAGTTCACAGAGACATTTTGTCTGCTGACGTAGAAGAAAACAGTTCCATACTTACTAGGCAGTACTTTACAGTGCAGCATGACAATGATCCAAACCCCCAGTTCTAATACGATCATGGATTTACATTTATCATTTGCATTCATTTCCTGATCACAATACAAATTGCTTGACTATAAAACAATAATGACAGTTTTGACTTTGCTATCCCAATTGTTTTGGAGGGCACTGTATCTAGCAAGCAGAATTCACCATAAGGTAACCATTAAAGCATCATTATGTAGCTCTAACTACATGTACAAGCTGAGTGCTGAGGATTTGGAAGCTATGACAACTGAGAGAATGGGTCAGCAAGTCCCTTTTTGAAGAGCCTTCCATATTTCAAATTCACAGCATGTACAATACATACCCATGAACCTCCCTTGTAACGGTTTGCTTTCCTGGTTTCCATTCACAGCAATAACCTTGGCTGTATATTCCTTATTGGGAAGGAAGCCTTCAATTATTACTCTGTTATCCCCCTTAGAGAGCTGTAATTCATGTGCCTTTCCTCCTGCAATTAAAGAAATACAAAAGAATTATAAGAAACATATTACTATAGGTATAGTATGCCTTTCCCACTTTGCTGTTATTTCTGGCTTACCGTATTACCAAGGCTTACTGCTTTATAAAACTGCTTCTCTTTTACTACTATGTATTAAAAAGTAACAAATATGAAAAAACAAGACATTTCTTCAACTATCAAGTTTTCTAGAACAGCAGGAAGCCTGCAGGCATTGTAAGTGTAAATTATCTTTTACTGCACAAGGTGCATTCATCAGCAGTGTGCATGCTGGAGACAGCTAGTCAGGACAATCTTTCTGTGTTTAGAGAGACATTCATTTTAAATGTAACTGATGGAAAATAGATTTCCCATAAATAGAATTAATACACCATAACACACTGCTTTGGCAGTTGCATGCTAAAAGAAATGGAATGAAATCTATTCCCAAGAGACCATGCATGGCAAGAACATTTTTCAGGCTTAAACCTGTTACGTAGTCCACTGTGTTCATTTAAGATTTTAAATGTCAGAAGTTTGAAAGAAGATTAGGTGATGTTTTAATTATTTAATACTGTTCAACATTCATTTGCATTTTTCATTCAGCCACCAAAACATGACCTGATGGATGAAAAATTGGAGAAACACGGATATTATATGATATTATATAAGGCATAATATCCAAATGGATAGTCAGAGAAAATCTTTTGCAACAAATCAGCAGCAAATTATATTGAAAACAAGCCAATTTACAGATTAGAAAGTCTGAAGACTTCAGTCTCCCCTTAAATCCAGCAATTGTATGCATTACTTGACCTGAAACATGAACGAACCTGAAGTTACATATTATATTTGATGTACAGTAATAATGAATTCATTCAACAGTAACAAATAAGTCCTAAAGACATAAATGCAAATGCCTTCTTAAACTTTCATTTAATAACAAAAAACTCCAAGCTTTACCAAAACAAATAAATCTTGTCTTTGCAATCTCTCGATATACCAATAGTAATTATATGCTTTCAGGGGAAAATATGCATTGGGAGTATGAATTATATCTATTACTATTCATGATTAGAGTATGGTCGGGCACAGAAAAGAAATTAGGGCTTTTGAGAGATGTTTTTCCACATGTTTATATAATTCTGCTTTCAAAATCATGCAGAGTAAATAAGTTGGGGGAAAAGAAGTAGAAGACTATATAAAATATGAAGGTTTTCTAGTTTTAAATATCTTATTCACATATACTGACACTGAGCTGAAATCTGTTGCTGGGGACTGGGAAGTCTGGGCTGATATACTCAGCTCACTGCAACCGCCACCCTCACCAGGAAAGTGGAGTGAAAATGGATAGATGGATGGACATATATTGACATATATACTGGCAACATTTCCACTGGATCATCATGCCCACTACGCAAATAGCAGTGGATCTGAATGTAGAAAATTTGAAAAAACCTATCCTCAAGACTCCTTATGTGAGGGTACAAGTTGGAACATGAACTGAAGGTTGAGGTCCTAAATCATTGCTCTAGACACAGTTTCAATCCCAGCATCACAGTTTATGCCTAGTTTCTCTGCCTCTGAGTCAACCAAACATATATTTCTTAAATGAGGTACACCGATGAGACTCGCATCCCACAATAGGTTTTGTTTTCAAAACCTAAGCAATAGAACTGTTCAGACGGCTCTTCTTTATTGACTAATTATAATTATTTAAATTCTGGGCCACTGTGGTGGACCAAAAAGAAAAACTGTGTTTCATAAGAACCAGTGCAACAGCCGTGGTTCATGAATTCAGTTACTTCTCCAGTGAAATGCAGTACAGTGAGAAAAACTGTTAATACTCAGTTCAGGTACTCCTAAGGTTTGAAAAATGCATGATGGAAATTCTACAGTATATAGCAAAGGTCTTTATTTAATCATATGTCAAGTCTGAAGATGAATAGATTGTGAACCTGTGCAAACAAGCAATACTATACTACTTGATGGTTTCCCATAAGAAATTAGATTTCACATCCTAATACTGTATTTTAGAAGAGGAAAAGGAGGTTTTGTGATTTGGATGGAAAAAGAATCGTCAACTTGAGTTTAAAATATAGGATTTCTCTCAGTAACACAGTCCGGCACAAGCGAATGTGCTTAAAAACACAGCTCCAGGATAAGAACCAGAAGAAAAGGGTGTGCTAGGCATATACCTTACTGTAACACAATCCGTGGACAAAATGAAAGCTTTGAAGTGTGATCGACATGATGCTACAATACCAAGTGTGCTATTATTGTTGTGGGTTCTGGCCAAAGTTCAATAGAGATTTGATACCATAAAATAATAAGCATTAACTCACAATCTGTTTTAAATGCACCAGGTATAGCAACAGTCTTCCCTCTTAGCAGGAAATACAGTATCTTACTACCAGCAAGCTAACTGTTTCGGTTTATTACTAAAATCAATGGAGAGAAAAACATGCAATTAAAATATTAAACAGTAGAAAAAGGGAGAAAAAGAAAGATGCGTTTAAGAATGACTCTTTTCTTTTAGCTAAATAAAAGCTACATTTTGACTGAGCACATTTTTCAAGAAGAGAGCACCTACCTGAATTATCTTTACTGCACACATATAAAAATAAGATAATGTTGCTAATTAATTCTTATTCTGCATTACAGCCTGCACCCTTTAGAAAATCAGCAGTAGTGTGCACATTTTCACAATAACTATTTAAGTATTTTATAAAGGAATATAGGTGTGCTTGAATAAAATCAATTATCTCATTCACACAACTAGCCTTGTTGCTAAGGGTGCTGATTTCAGCACTGGCCAAATTAAGCCTTGCTTTTAAAGTCCAGGAGAACAGAATGGATACAGAGAGATTTTTGTTTAATAACATTATGACAGTATTAGAAAATGGTGCCTTGATTAAAAATACATGTAAGAAGAGGTTTTGTCCACACACAATAAATTAATCAGTAGCTGTGTTTTTAAGAAATCTGGTATCTTTTGACCAGATCTGTTCATATTTTTTGTTAGCACAGGGATGTTTTATATAATGTCCAGCAAAGTAAAAGCACAATGACAATATTGTCCCTTGCTCATGCTATCAAGTTACTAATTTGTATTTTTTATAACTGTATACAGTATATTATACAACTCTGATGTAAACATAAAAATGTACTTTGTGAAAGGTAAGAAGTCTGTACACAGAGAACAGAGTATATATATATATCTGAATGTGATGTATGTAATAATTTAAGCCTAGAATTGTACCAATGTCTAACACTGGTATATGACTGAACAAACTTACAGTTAGACATATCATCACAAAGCACTATGAAGGTCTTCAAAAACATCTTATAATAACCTTTTTAACACTCTCCAAATGACATGCAAAAACAAGTAACACTCTGTAAAACATACACAGATGGTATGTACTATACATATATGGACTTTACCAACAGAATGTTATACATTATGAACACATTCCTACCTGATTCTGTATAATAAATAAATCTATATCTTTCAAAATCTCCCCTGGGTGACTTCCATGTTACAAGTAATCTGCCTGGAGACAACACTTTAAATCGTAATCTTCTTGGAGCAACAACTGAAAGACAAATGGAAATTCAACATTAATAAGTGAATATGTCCCATAGGAACTGATAATAAATTTAAATGTTGTTAAAATCACCAGAGTTAGATATACAGGCAGATGACAGGAGGGGATTAATAATATAGAGTACAAAAACATATTGAACAAAGACTGTTATTCCCACAATGTTTTTAACAATAAAAAGACAGACTACAACTTGACAGGAGAAGACATAGACAATGAAGATGCCACAAATGGTACATGGAAGGCTAAGTCATATTTTCTTTCCATGGAGATTCTTAGAAAAGAGCAAGGATTACTGGCTATATACAGTATGAGATAATGACAAATACTAATGTCTCCTTTAGAGACTGAGCTGTTGTTTCTTTCTTTTCAAAGAGTTTACAAAGAGTTGAGTCAGTTTTTGAAAGGGCAAACCAATTTGGTCATACTCTATTTTAGCAGTTTGGTCAGATCCTAATGAATGCAAATCCGAAATATGAAGAGAACATTTGATGTGACTTGCCTAGCTGAGGGATGGCAGCCCAGCCACGAGGATAAGGCTGCCCATATCCCCACTCATTACTGAGGAATGAGCTAGGGAGCTGCTCCAAGGGTGTATATGAGAAGGCAGGTGGGGGTGTGAAAGAGATATGCAAAGGAAAGTCCTTGGTGTAAGACATATCCATAGAGCAGAAGTGTGCTAGATTAGGATCTAACCTTCCTCCTCAACTTCTGTTATAATCTTCATGTATTGCGAATAAGCACAAATACCTAATGAGCATGAGCTATTTTTTTACGGCAAAAGATTGTTTTGGTCTTAGCTTTAGATGTCTGAACAAGGCGATATTCAATTTAATTCAAAGCTGGTGCCAGTTCATTGGCATTCACACTTAAATAAAAATGTTTTACAAAAGAAAATATGACTTGTTTTTTATAAATGTAAAATGCATATTTTGGAATAGTCTTCCAAGAATCTATTCCTGTTAAGAAAAACACAGAACTGCAAACTACATGGGCATACCACTTTCACCATTCCTCCTTCTAAATTAGTTCAACTACGGTCATAAGCATCACCAAAACAATCACTACCACATTCCCATTTGACACTGAGACAATTTGGTAACAAAAAGAAGAAAACACGAAGAGTTTCACAAACACTTAGGTTTGTGTCATCTTGTTCTGCTGTTAAATGGCAGACAGAAAATGTTGTGCCAAAGTACTCTTTACATATCTAGACATAACAGCAGTAAATATGCTCTGCTTGTGGACAAGAAGGGTATTAAACATTTCAGTGATAAATGGACTAAAGAAATACATACGTAGAATGACAAAATTGGAAGTCTAGATATGTAAAGACAACAGTTTGGCACATGTAAACAAATGTGGTTATTATAAATAGATATGGTCTGACAGTGCGATAGGTATTTCAGAAAAAAATCTATACGTAGGTAGATAAATGATAACAAGCATATGACACCAAGATCACCAACCTGAGATAGGGGGTGGATACTCTGCAGGGCTTTATTCTCTGTGAAGCAAAAAATCTCCCTTCTTGGGGACAATTAATCCAAATTCAGTTGTAACATGTATTTACACTGTTTTTTACAATCTGTGGGTGGGTTGTGTTTCTTAAACTGTCATTGTGCAGTAACTGCAAATTTGCCACCAGTAGCAACCACAAATAAAAAACTTTGATGTACCCAAATTAAAAAAATATATAGTCAAGAAAAAAATAAAAATATGATTTAACAGACAATAGGTTTCAAAGACAGATGGAGAATGCAGACACTAGTAAAATGGATACAGTTTGTTTCACATTTTTAATTTTCAGTTTTTGAATTATTCCATTTGAATTGGGCTGACAAAGCACATTCTAAGCAGCATACACAAAATGTATAAATGAAATGGGCACAGCATTAACTAAAACTTCTGTAAACTGCAGGCATGCCATACTTACATAATGAATAATAAAAACATACATGTAATGTCCATTTACAATGTATGTAGAAAGAAGTCTACAGCACCAGTGTTTGTGGAAAATAACTTGTAAAATAATAATTAACATGCTTTTAGGTTACTTAATTTTATTACTCTTCAGTTCCTTTGGTGATATTGTTTCTGCCTTTTTACAAACCAAATTACATTATAATGCTTTAAAAAGAGCCACGTCCATGTATAAAAGACATAAGCAAGGGATGCTGTATGATCTCTAAATAATAAATGTAACAAAAACCTCTAAATTATTCAGTCTTTGATGTGGTTGTCTTTGATTTGCCTATAACAGCTTCTAAATAAGCTGATTACATGTACCCAAAAACCTTCTGAACCCTTTATCATCTTTGCTTACCTATCAGAAACTTGAACATAGATCCTTTTACCCCTTAGCTTTTGCTAACTTATTAAAAAGCCCACTGAACTTATTAATATATTTAGTCTTCACAAATTGTTCTTTAAAAACAAAATAGGTAGAGATCAAAGTTTAGAATTACTTGACTGACAAGATGTATAACATGTAAAACCCATGACAACTGATGGCAATGATTTGCATTTTCAAAGGGTTTTAAACCTAATCAAAAAAGGAATATATGTTTATAGTATAAAGCTAACTTGACACAGACAGAATACTTGGGACTAGCACACTGCAAGATTCCCCTCACACAGTATCCTGCTGAAATGCATTCAGTCAGTCTTAAAACAATAAAAATCAAGAGTGTACCTTGAAGACATTTTTCCAAAACAGTATGAGGTTTAATTGCCATTAATAAGGAAAATATCACATGAAACAGGAAAAATATTTCAATGAGATCTTCCAAAAAAAAAGGGAGATTACTTATCGAATCTTTCAGTGATTTATACATAAGATCATACTGCTTTTGTGTAAGAAAGGGGGGTTGGAATTGAAAGAAAGTTGAAAGAAACCTTAAAATGATATTATCACAAGCCATCCTCATGTTTTGTTTTGCTTTTTAACTTTTCTTTCTTCTCTGTCAGAATGCAACATGTAGAGAGTCGGCTACTTCAAAGTTATTGAGCTCCTCAATTATGTAGTGGTGGAACAAAACGTTGAGGAATTTGGCTCAAGGTCTGGTGTTCCTGATTTGCCAACCTCTCTTCTTGGAGCTACTTGAAGTGGTGCACTTATTTTAAAGCTAAAGTAGTGCTTTCAGGTGGACACCTGAAACCTAATTCCTCTCATTTATGTCCCAGTACAAATAAGATGGAGATTTACATGAGCATTTGTTTTAGCACATGGCTGAATGAAGAAGAAAACACATGAAATGAAACAACATTACGGTGGTGAAATGCTTTGGCCAAATCTGCACATCAAAAAAGAAACCTTATGGATCAGTGAGATTACCTACCTTGACCCTGAGCTTGGATAGTGAAATGTGCAGCTACTGCAAGAAAGACCAAAGGACACCATGTCCTTATCCTGAGTCCAAAAACCTTCATCCTTATCACTGTATGGCTGGAGCACTCAGCATGCCTGGAAAGGTACATGAGATGGACCATTCACAAAGTTGGTGTACAGGCAGGCACTGACTGAAATCTGATACTTGAACTATTCAGTGTTTAACCCAGAGATCTCCTAGTACCCTTCTTGACAAAGGAACTCAGGTTTGGAAACCCCAATAAAGAACCAGAAGAGGGTCCTTCAGTTGTCACTTGATGAAGAGGAACCACAGCTCACGAATTTAGGAATTTTCACATTTCTATAGAATGATCAAGAAAAAGTGAACTGTCTAGAACCAGAACAGGAATTAAACACACAATAGGAGACCCCCAGTTTCTATGTGAAATGAACCTAACACATCATCCAACTGATTCTGGATGGGTCCCACTAATGTTAAATTTACTGCAAGGACCTTAAAAACATGCATTAACAAATAGTCTAATGTGTCTGTTAGGGGTGAAACAAGCCAGTTTACTGAAAACGGTTGGCAATGTAATCTGAATTGTAGAAAAGCTGCCAGTTTATTTCAACGTTGTCTTTTTATTGTCACGATTAGTTAACTTAAACCCCAAAGGGGAGTTCAAACACTTTTTTTCTTTTCTTTTTTTGCTTTTGTTAATTTAATAGGATTTGTTTTGATTTTCCAAATCCATGATTCGAGAATCATGAAAAATCCGTTTTTAATATCGGTCATTTATCAGCAAGAAAATGATACAAAAAAACGATAAAGCAAGAAGCAAAAGTCACTACAGCACCCACAGTACAATAAATCAGTGATGACAGCAGAGGTTATGCACCCCGACATAGGCGTAATTAACATAAATCTTAATTTCAAAATTAAAGTCCATGTAAAACCTAAACTTCTTATAGGTGCCATCATTTACTTTTACTCTTTTTTCAAATCTTTAAAGAAATAGACTGCGCGTAATGTATGTATATACTTAGTTATTGTCTCTTTTGTATTTTACCATGTCTTTTTTTAACAGAATTTACAGTACAAAAACTTTCAGTTGTAAATTTAGAGGTACTATTTAAGAAATCGTGTCTCCAAAAACTTTGCAGTGCTTATAACATCATATAAATAAGACGGATCTTAATTATTTCATTTAATCTCTGAAGACTTTTGTTCTAAACAACTAGTGTGCTTCTAAGGAGCCTTTCGCTAATCACAGTAGGGACCAGAGTCCTGGTGTCGTTGTCAAATTTCATATCACCATGTGATCATCTTAAGCCCTATAGGAAATTGTATCTTCAGATAGTAATTTTAATCCTCCACGGCGAACGATCAAAAGCTATCTAAAGCTCTCAATACTTTAACATCAATAGATTCTAAAAGAGTCGAGACAAAACATTAATTTCAAGCAAGTCTATCCGTCGCCATAGTGACATACTCTGAGTGTTGTCTACCATAGAGTTAAATGAAAAAATACAACTATAATTAACGTATTAGATGCAACAAAAGCTTTGATTTCCTACTTTAACTTTCACGTTCGTAACTGAAAAATACGTCCCCTGCGGTAATACATGTAAGAAAATAGCTATAACTACAAAGGTTTGACTTGGATGAAAAAGTCTTCATTTCTAACGTAATTCCTCCCTAGAACGTGATCGGTAAGAGCTTGCTTTTTTCCGCAGTAATGAAAATATGCAAAATAAAAAAAGAATTAAATGTTCTCTAAAACAATATGCATTTACAGAAAAAAATGACAGAAAACTTGCATTTGAAATCTATTATTTCACCCTTAAAATGGAGCGTAGAATTAATTTGTCAATTAATAGTAAGGTAAAACTTTATTAAGTACGACAATTCTGAGTTCAGCTTTTTTTAAAAAAATAAACTACAATTGAATTATTGCATTTCCTTATAATTCGGGAGCTGATAAAGAGAAATTAAACAACATAGCATACCTTTTGAAACATGTATATTATATTGTTTTCTCTCAAGAGGATCCTGAGAATGCACGACAGTTGCTGCCTGTCCCGGTTACTAGCAAATTCTCTCTTTCTCCGCTCTGTCAGTCCAGGCTTGAGCTGAATGTGGGTGTTTCTCACGTCGTTATTCACCCTTCCCTCAAGCTATTCATTCCTTCACCTCGTTTCATCTGAAGAGAGGACGAATAAGAACAGAAAAAAAACCTCAAGCAGCCAATTGCCGAAGATGGGACGAACTCCAAAGCATAGGTAATATTTGAACGCCCTGGGGGCAACAGTCTGCGCTCCAAAGGTGAGCAGCAGTTAAAAGAGTTTTGCTACAGTAGGACGAACAATTTAGGAGATAAATTACTTTTGTTTCAATAAATCAAGGAAACACTTAACACAGTATAAACAGCAATTTTTAAATGAAATGTGTAAAAGAACTTGGGCAGTAGTATAAGCACTAGTACTCATCATTTCCACGATAATAATGGTTATATTTTGTATTGAAATGCTTGGGTTTTGCCATCCAGTCAAGCTCCATTAATAACGTTGCTGCACTGTAGCTTTGTCCCACTTGTGTATAATCTTTAAACTAAGAGGTAAATCACTCGACTAAAAAGGACATAAGTACTGTTTAAGCAGTGATCATTCCCACAGGCGCTTCAATTACTTGCCCAGTGGCTTAATGTGAACCTGTGGTGTAGTGGTTCTTGTCAGCGGTCAATTCGCCTGCTGGATCTATAAAACCATTTCATTAACAGCAAATTAATTAACGTGCTTTCACGTTACTTAATGTGCAATCCCTGACTTTGTTTTTTGCACAGTCATTCTGCTTACAATAGAGGCACGGTAAACCTTGACGAAAGTATTAGAAATGCAATGCAAGATCGCACACAAGTACTGTAGTCAAACCCAATTCGTCCCAATTACACAAAAAATAAATGTATCTAACGTTTCCCCGTTACTCTATTGTGAGCTTAAGGATGTTGTACAAAGTTTCAGTTAACACTTTAGTTCTCTATCCAGTTTAATCTAAATGTATCCTTATTTAATCCTCAAGAGGCTTAACACTTAATACATTTATGTTGCAAGACAACGAATAGATAACAAACTTAAATAAGCCTGAATTCTGTGGTTTTATTTCAGATGCTGAACAGTGCACTGATATACCTAAAGAGATGTCTTGCCCAAGCCACATACAGAAACAAATTATAAAATGATCAACAGTTACTGATAAGAAAAAAGCTATTATATTCTGAGGTAAGGACTGTCCTCAGATGCAAATGAAATCCAGGTCAGTCAGTGGTTTACAAATAAAATGGAGACAAAGTGCTGCCTGAGAAAGGGGAAGGTTTTCCAAAGGAGGGGGAAACATTTTTTATGGATGGAAGCAAAAGATGGGATTGGCAACAAGGTGCAGTAGTTAGTGCTGCTGTGTCCTAGCTCCTGGATCTTGGTTTCTATTCTGGACACAGGATGGCCTCTTTGTGGAGTTTTTAAGCTCTCCCAGTGTTTGTATGGGTTCCTGCCAGCTGCTCCAGTGTCCTTCCATCTTCAAAAGACACCCTGACTAGGTCAGTTCGTGTCTCCAAATTCTTTCTTTGTGTGTGCCTGTGATGAGCTGATGTCCCATCCCAGGTGTAAGCTCTGTTAGAGCACCCAGGAACAAACAGTATTCTGATAATGGATGGAAGATACTGTGTAAAGGCAATTAATGCATACTGTACACGTACCAATAGCAGGTAGGTTGAAACTAGCGTTTGAGAAGACATGAGAGGAATCTTGTGATTCATCCACTGTTTAATTTTTTTAAGGGTGAAACCAATTATTGTCTGAACCCTTTCGGTGTGAAGAAACCTATTATTTTCATACAAGGCAATCTGAAACCAATTCTTGACAGAATATTTCTTTGTGACTTTTCCAGCACGAGTAAATGTAGGGTACAAAATGGAAGCTTAGAATACTCTGTAATTCTATAAATTCCTTTTCATCCAAAAGAATCCGTGATAGCTTTTCTGTATCTCAAGGCATCTTGTTAATCTTTTTCATTCAGTAAAAGTAACAGTTCTTTCTTTGCTATAGAAATGTATCACCGTTACATATATTTTTGTATATCCTCCACTGGATGATGGCATGTAGAAGTGATGGTGGAAGTCATTGGTAATATTTCTGTATGAGGTTGTGTGGAAAAGTTTTGCTAAAAACCGTATGTTATGATGTTTGGCCGATGAAGGTGCATTCTGTGTCCAAAATGTTTTTGTACATACCAGTGCTGGGTTTTTTTCAGCATTTTAAAACAAGAGAGCTGCTGTAATAAGAATCGATTGACTCTCTGTTAATACTTAAAGCTCACTGGTCTGTCCATGCTCTGAATCTCAAAGTAAAATGCTTGCCAATGTTACCTTTATCAGTGTAATTATACAGTATGTATTGTTTGACATTGTTTTAGTATGTAATTTTGTTCCATAACTGCAGTTTTGCTCTATGGGGTCTGGAAGATGTAGTTGAGTAGCCTTTCAGGTTGGTGTTCAGAGTTTGGCATATATACAGTTTGTACTCTAATAACCTGTGAAAAATAAACTTGGTAAAAACAACTGGCAATCTTAAATGGAGGAGGTCCAAGTGGGTCAAGATGTTAAATGGAAGAGATTCCATTTGACTCAACTTCCAGGTCCTGTAGACTGTGGACAGCGGCTTCCAAACTTTTCCTGACTGAGCTGGGAACCACAGCTGACCACACACATGGTGACTCATTCCTGCAAGTCTGTGGCATTCAGTAAGGCATCAGCTTCTTTATGTCCCCTGAGGTGGTGGCCATGCTGGCTTCAGTCTTGACTCCCAAAGTGGAAATAATATACTGTGCCTTTAAACACTGCAATGAATAGTTCTGATTACTGTAGTTTCTTTATTTAAAATCATTACCATGAGTGATATATTTATATAAATCTTACAGTTACTCAGTACTGGAGCCATGGGCTTAATTCCTGGCGATGTCTGCGGGGAGTTTGTGTGTCCTCCCTGTGTTTGTGTGGGTTTCCTTCGGTGCCTTTGGTGGGTGCTCCAGTTTCCATCCACTGTCTGAAGACATACTGTACTGGTGGATCAATTGGCTTCTGGAAAAAAACTGGCCCTGGTGTGAATGTGCACTTGTTTTTGTCTGTGTGGGCCCTGCAATAGACTGGCATCCCATCCAGGATGTATCCTGTCTTGTGCCCATTGCATGCTGGGATTGGCTCTGGCTCTCCCTGTATAGGATAAATGCTTAGAAAATGGATGGATGTGTTGTCAAATTCTAACTGTTCTCCTGTTCTCCAAAAAATGACACTTCCCTTTACCATTTATTTAATAGATATTGACTCTCCTCCATCTATTTTACCATTTTTTGCAGCAGTTCAATTTATTTTGCTGTAATGTAGTGGCATTCCACAAAATGGTATTTTTTCTGCGAGGTCTGCATTTCCTTGATTAATGTGTAGTTTGGCTAGTCATTATTGTGCAGTGTTTGAGGTCTCCTTGGCTTATTACATGAGCTGTTTACATATTAAAATCAATTAACCTGATGCAAATCTACGTGTATTAGTGGCCTTTCTGAAACAGAAGTAATCATAGCTACTTACTATCTCTGCCTGCCTTATTAAAATGGGTTGTAAAAAAGGTCTTAAATATACTTGTCTTGGCTTGTCTCGCAAAAGAAGCAGGCTATTCCAAGATCTTGCTTGTGCCTGAAAAAAATGTCAAGACTTAAAATATTTTCTTGCTTTGGATTCATGCATCGGTAGTACTTCTTTTTTGAAATGTGCATAAGAATGTTTGTTATTTATAGTTAGGTTGTTTTTATAGCTTTAATAGGCTATCCTTGTTATTATGTTTTCTGTACTATTTTCAATTTTTAGGCTATGAATGCAAGTAACATATAATTAATAATATAAGGGTGTGGTCTCCTTTATGTGTGACTCACTATTTGCAACTTGTTACACACAGTACAAGTTTAACAAAGTTAAGTCTGTGATTTCAGGATCGTATTCCACACATCATATAACAGATCATGTTCCTCAAAAGCAATCCTCACATTTTTTACATTAGAAACCAAGTAAGAGATAAACACATAGTTTAAATAGCAATTGTGTTGAGTGCGAATATCATCCACAAAATCACTGGATATAACTTCGCTTAACTTCCATTTATTTAACAAGGCATTTGACTGTACTTGATATATACTCTATCTAGAAGACAGCCAGGAATCACACTGCATTCATCAAGGTACACATCTCTAGAGAGCTTATTGACGTCTTTGATAATCTTTTCAAGTAAAGAAAAATTGAATTTTACTCTTTGTTATAATGCAAATGACTTCTTCTTTCACACTAATCATGTGAGTGTCAGGCAGAATGAATGTCAGAATGTGCAACTCACAGGGACTAAGGATTCATGCTCCAGACACACAGGTGAAACTGAGGTGATCCATTTTTCAAATACTGTACTACTGCTAATATTTTGAACTTAATGATTTTTTTGGAAATGTTATTTGTGCTGAAGATTGCTTCAGCTGTATCAGTAGTATTATTAAAGACATTTTTTACTCTTTATGCAATCAAGAAAATGACTTTCTAACATGCTATTTTCAGCTTCATACTTTTTTTAGTTAAGCCAGTGTGATCAGAAGGCTTCAGTGCTGAAGGCTGGCATTGAATCACTTGAGACTGATCGTTTCAAAATCTTCAGGAAAGTCTCCCATGTCCAGCTGCTGCTGGGGCTGTTATTATGATGAATGAGGTGGATTTCTGCTGAAAGTGTGATGAGTTACAGTGACAGCAAGCTCCCCAGGGCAGTTCCATAATGTCCTCCAGGAGCTTCCAGTTGGCTTCACATCACATTGGATCTGAGGTGACTGGCCTTTCCCCATATCTGACCTAGGAATTTAGCTGCTGCTTGTGTTTGTGGAAAACATCACAAAGTGGCTGGGGGCAAGGTCAGGAAGCAGGGACAGAGGTAGAAAAACTTCCTGAGGTTTTTTTTTTCTTTCCAGTCCCTCAGGTGCTGTAATCTGACAGCGGTCAAAGCTTTGAATCCAAATCCAAGACCTTCGGGGTACTGCCAACACGGACACCACACTTTATTGCACCGGCAAAATGATTGCTTGGTCAGGCCAATCTGTGTAATAGGATTCTGTTCACGCAGCTCATCACTGCAGTCTCTTCAAATCAGTGGCTTGACAAACAGCCTCACATTCTTTAGACCAGGGGGACACATTCT